AGTCACGACTGTCATCGTGACAGGCAGAGGTGGTGGAGTCATGCAGACAGGAGGCCAACAACAGACCTTCCACCTCAGCAAGACCTCTGATACGGTTTGCAAAGGCCGGAGAGAACGCCAACCTTCCTTGCCAGAGAGTAACACCAACGGTACTCTCACCAGGCAGCGAGTGGTCGATGAGGGTCGACCTAGGGAGGCAGCTCCAATTCCCCAGGGAGATCACAGAAACTTCGCTCCGGCCAGATCTGATCATATGGTCAGAACCACGCAGGACCATTCTGATGGTGGAGCTTACCGGAAGGCAAGGAGGCTGCCAAAGAGTGGAAACATGCAAAGTACGCAGACTTGGCAGCAGAATGCAGAGAAGCTGGCTGGAAAACCATCATGTGCCCCATTGAAGTAGGATCCAGGGGCTTCGTCGGGTCCTGTACGCCTGCTCCGCGACATGGGATGCACAGGAGCAGGGCGCAGGAAAGCCATGAGGGAACCGGCACAAGAGGCAGAGAAGGGCAGCTTTTGGCTGTGGCTCAAGAGGAATGAGGTGAGTTGGGGGCCAAACAAAGCGTGACCCATTCACTTCAACAAAATGTACCCACAATAGTAAACACAATAGGCATAATTAAATAATAAGTTAGGAATCTAGCTACAATCAAGTTAGGAATCTAGTTACAAATCTATCTTATAGTAATTAATTAACATGATCAACCCCAGCGGAGCCTTCCTAGGGGGAGAGTGTCTAGTGATAATGGCCGAAACACTCACTGGCTCCAAGATCCACTACTAAAAATGTGTCTTAAAATAAGATAGTCAGTTTATATAAAAAACAAAACAAAAAAAACAACCAGATAATCAGGAAACACCCCATTCCACCCCATCCTTTACCTCAGCCCCTTCCTTTACCCTGAAGGTAAGTATAAGGATGACCCCCAATAATAAATGTCTCTGTCATTAGTGTGGAACCCCAGGGTTCACCTCCTGGGCAAGATCGAATCCTGGTTAGGGTGGTTGGTACCTTCCGGTGGACTCACCACCCTCAGAAAGGTTCAGTTGGTATGGTGCAATGTGATTTGCGTGCCAGTCATGGCTGCCCCCATGAACCGGTAACAGATAAGTGGATGAAAATGGATGGATGACATATCCTTTTTGTGAGATTTCTGTTTGGTGGTGTGCCGTGGGGTTTTTCCTGATATCGATGTGCCATGGCTCAAAAAAGGTTTGGAAACACTGCTGTACACAATGTAGAACAAAAACACTGAATTCTTTGTTTTTAAATGATCTTAGACTGTTCTAGGTTTGAAAATTTATTTCAGTTCAAACACAAACAAAACAATGTAGACCTGTTTTGGATAATGGTTGGACAGAAATCTATTGTTGCTAAAGAAAGACTATAACAGGAAAAAAAACTATAACAAGTATAACTTTATTTCCCTTTAAAAATACATGCTCTGTTATGAACGAGAATCAGAGAAGCTAAAACAATCTTAAAAACAATTGATTGTTTTAGATTTTTTACACTTGGGTTTAGCTTATAATAATAATAATAATTATTATTATTATTATCATTATTTGAGAAAAATCATTCCATAGCCCAAGAATGTAGAAAACCAACTCAGGATAAAACTGTTGAAAAAACCCTAGATTTTCACCAAATACATCTTATATATCTACTATATTTGTGTATTTGTGTGTGTGAATGTGCGTATATATATATATATATATATGTGTATATATA